GCTCTGCGGAGAACTGCCATTTCCCATCGTGTGTCTCATTCCTCCCCACACTCACCACATCGCATGATGCAATAACCCCTAATTCCAAGAATGCTGTGTTTGTATGGAGAGTGTGTTGGAGCTGCTATTATCGCTCCAGGTGCACAGTTTAGAAGAAGCTGAGAAAACGTGGTGCACTGTGAGTAACAGCAAGCTCTGGTGTCTCTTCCTGTCTTTCGAGTAGCTGCTGTGACTCAGCACATGACTAACCTTTATTAAAATCCTCCTCCTTTTTTCTTTTTCTTTTTCCCCCTCTTTCCCCTTCCCTAGTCCCCATCTATGCTATGGGGATGTTGAATACATGCTGGTACGTTGTTGTCACAGGTGCCCCAGTAGCAATATTGTAACTGGCTATGGGAAGGTGTTTGAGGCAATTCTTAGGATATGCCTAGCAAAGCGCTTAAATGCACACTTAGCTTCAAATATATGACTAATTCTACTGCTGTTAGTAGGACTACTTACGTGCTCAAGTGCTTTGATTAGAAAATTAATGAGTTCAAATGCTAGATAAACTTAATTTTGGAGGGAGCTGTAAAGCCTAGAAGCATGGACCCTAGTAATTAGCCATGTCTCTTGGCTGGTCACTTTTCTCTCTTTAACATAGTATTCTTACAGTTCACCTGCAAACTACTTCTAGGAAGCAACTTTCAAAGAACCATTTTGATTTAGATGTAAAGGAAGAAAATCCGGAGTAATTTTGTGCTATTTCTTGCATCTGTCATAATCAGCACCATCTCTCTGCAGTTTACAGGTGGAGATTCTCTAGGAAATTGTGTGAAAAAATAAAGAACATTTACAGCAGCCCCACAAATTTGCAGGGAGATTTCCTTGAGCTGATCTAGACTCCATCCACAAATGTCTAAAAAAGTTTAAAGGGTGTTTATGCCACAAGCACGAAGGCCTAGCTAATCCAAAAAGAGGTTGATGGGATAAATCTTGCTCTGTATTGTTGAGTCCCTGGTGTGCAGCTTGTTTCAGGAGATGGATAAGAAGGGATTCCCTGCCCCAGGAAATCAGCAGCGGACCTGCACAGGAGTGTGTTGACCTGCGAGTGCCAGACCCTTCCCACCATGAGGTGCCTCAGTTGAATCACGTCTTAGGGGTTGCACAGGAGGAGGTGAGGGAGCAAGGAGGCATGTGCTGGGAGCTGACTGAGAATGGCCAGAGTGGTGGTGCCTCAATGGGCACGGAAAGGGGGCCACTTATTGTATTTTGGGAGCATTCAAGAGGCTATCGTCTACTTAAGCACTGGTTTGGATGTTTGCACTTATTTTCTGTAGTCATGAGGTCAAAGAACACTGGAAGCATTGCAATGAATTGCAGTGCAGAGAATTTACCTCCTTACAGCAATACATTTCCACCATCACAACATTGCAGAGAAGAAAATGACATGGACATTTCTTTCATTTCAGTGTGCTTTGAATTTAAACCTGGGACCCCAGTTCTTGTATTCTCTTTCACCAGACTCGGCCAAGAATAACTCTACCAAAATCAGCAAAGCTGCAAAATGAGCAAGACACATTAATCAGGATCTTTCTATTTTCTGTGGTTTATAGTAAACACGAGTAACTCCTCCAGGGTACCTGCTGTGGTGTGAGTTGAATATACTCTGTTTGCATTCAGACAGTGGGATCCCGGGCTCTGATGGAGCTGCTCTAGGGGCAGCCAGTGATAAATGAACTCTGATCTTTGTACTGACTGTGGAGTCGGCGGGGTTTTTATTAGTGCACAGTCCAACAGCAATGTGATTACAATTCCTGATAGACTGTACTGCCAGGAATTCTCTGTCAGTGACAAAAAGGAAAGAAAGGATGAAAAAAGGGTGGTAGGAGGGTCTCACCCTAACAATACAAATCAGAAAATTGGCAAACGAAAGCAGAACAAACAAATAAAATAGCAACCAAAATGAATAATGCTAAAAATATAGTCAAAAATTCTTCATTATATTATTTGTTTGCTAAGATTGCACACAGAATATGGCATGCACTTCAGCAAAGCTTGTGTGTTTTTACTAGCTCTTGTTTAACCTTCAGCTGACGGGTGCATGGGCAGCCGCTAGCCCTGGGGAGCACTCCCCCAAAATTGGGTGTGTGGGTTGTGATCCGACGGAGATTCCTGTTGTTTGGGGCATGGCTGGAGCGGCTCTGGCTGGGATGCCTTCCCGGTGCAGGAGGCACAAGGAGTTTGCCGAGCACAACTCGGCTTCCAGAAGCCTTTGCTGGAGCATCCTGGTGGAAACCTGTGGGATGGAGAAGGGGTGAACATTGCTGCAGATCCATCCTCAGATTTATTTAGTTAGGCTGTAGGTACCTGGACAAGAGGGAGCTGTTTTCTTCTGAATGTGCACCCTGTGTCTTCAGCAGAACTGTTATCTTTGCTGCCACAGTCCTAAATGTTACCCCCCGCACACTAAAGGTTTTTAGTTTTCTGTTTGTCCTCTGTCTTTTGATTTCTGTGTTCTCTTTAGAGACCTTTTCAACCGCTGTGTCTTTCTTCTGCTGAGCAATTTCACCAGGTGTCTAATAAAGATATTTCTGGAGAGCAGATATTTCACTTTTTCTTTGCCAAATGGCATTTAGAAAAGGATGTATCTTGGCTCCAAAGCTAAAGCTTTTTGATAACACTGCAAATTTCTCTGAGAACAGTGACCAGTAGGATAGCTATGGCTCCATGCATACCCAATTTCACTGCTGGCACAGTCAGCAAAATGGGTTTCAAGTGTTTTGGTGTTGGATGGAGAATGAGGTTATGTATTTATTCACAGATATGGTAAACATTGATACCTTGTGAAGGGCTGTGTGGGTGCACTTCCAGTCTCACACTGCCCTTGTCTGTAGATAGCGCAAGTCAAACTCTCCTACATACAGGATATCTGTTGAACGTAAAGACAAAGTAAAAAATATGAGCAAGAAAAACAGGATCAATGACAAAGAGTGGGAAAAAAATTCAAATTATGCATAGAAACAAGTAAGGCTTTTAATTCTCCTCCCAGCCCCATGGTCCTTCATTAAGACCTAATGTCAGAGCATGTGGGAAAGCCTTCTTATGTATATTTAAAGAGTTTATCTACAACCAGGATCTATATTAAACAGGAAGCAAGGATCTGGGAGAATTCAAAGAGATTAACTAAAAATAAATCAGGCACTGCAGTGAGGGAGAGCGAATGCTGTGGCAGAGCTTCAAGAGTGGTTGCTGCAATTAGATGGAGAAAGGTTCCCAGCAGGCGTCTGCGGAGCAGCGGGGAACTGGGGACTGTGGCTGGTGGGTTTAAAAACAGAACATGCTGCTGCTGAGCACCGTTTCCTGGGCATTAATGTCTGAGCCTGGAACTTGCTGTCCTGGGTTTGCAAAAGGCCAGTGAGGAGACTGGAAAGCTCAGGTTCAACTCTGTACAGTCCGGAGTGCACTTGGCTCCTTTTGAACCGTAAAATTAAATTGCTGTTTGTTCATAACAGAGCTGACTTGGGCCAGTTTGTCCTGGGTGGAACAAGAGCTTTGCTGTATTGGTCCACAGTGTGTCGGGCTGCACTTCAGAGAATAGCAGGGCTGGGCTGGACCCAAACCTCACCCAATCGACCTTGTGCCCATGTGCTGTATCCCAACATTTGTGCTGTGCCATGAGAAATCTCCAGTTCCAAAACACTAATATTTGGGTATTTGTTTCTCCTCTCTTTCTCTTTCCCAAGGTGTAATGTTGCAAGTGCTACTGTACTAAATATTATGGAGAGGGATTTGCTGAAGGATATAAATATTCATCGCTTTTAATGATTTGCATTAGAAGCCAGAAAATTGACTTTTATCTCTATGCTGATTACACTGATTTTCTTTCACTCTCATTTTCACATATATTAAGTGCAGCAGTATTAAATACCTGGAGCTTTCTGTGGTCCAAATCAGACTTTACTATCTTCATTTGGAAATCAGTTCTTCAGAAGCTGACAACTCAACCTTGTGCACCACTCTGTATGGTTTTCTACAGCACTTCAAGATTTCATGCATCTAACTCCAGCCCTTGACCAAAGGTGAAAATGGAGCCATTTGGTCCTCTCTGGCATTTGCCAGCTAGACTGAGACAGTGCAGCTGTGGTGACGGCCTCTCACACTGCTTCTTTGCTACATAGACTCGGGCATGTGGAGTCCTCTAGGACTCCTCAGTTTCACAAAACAGATGTGATCTCCTCTGGAGAATTTTTAGCTTCACAGCACAGCCCTGTTGCTAGTCCTGTCTGGGCATAATTAGCTGGCATTAGATGTCGCATTTATTTTTAGTTGCGGTGGGTGGATTTTATCCAAAATATTTAAGTTAATTCTGAGTTACAAATTAATTCAATGTAGGTCAAAGATGCAGTTTTGATAATTTAATCGTATCCTTTTAAAAGCCACTTACAGGCCTTTGTGCTGGAATAAGACACTTTGCTCTTTTTTAATTTTTCTTTTCTTTAATGAAATTAACACGAACTGAGTTAGTCAGCATGTGAAACTGAGATCTTCTTCAGAAAAAAACATAATGGTAATATGAGATTAATATTGATAATTTGGAGCCTGAATAAATATCCTCAAATAACCTCAATTTGCACTGACTTCAGTGGTGTTTCTTAAGACTGGGCTTTTAATAAGCAAGGCTATTTTTTTTAGGATTGACTGATACTCTGCATGTTCTGCATATAAAATATGATATAAATTTCTTTGTCTGGTCGAAACAAAAGTCTCTCTGAAACATTTTATTGCCAGCTATTTTGAGACTCAATGTGAGAAACACACTATAAGTAGATCTGGGTATCTGCCTGTCTATTGATCTGTCTCTTTTACTTCCCAAGGGCATCATGAGTTTATGTTAATTTACTGTTATAAGATAGTTGGCATAGGTTCAGAGAAAGGTTAATGTAGAAAAACAGGGGCTTAGAAAGCAAAAAAATGTGTGTGGTCTGTGCAGAAATCTTAAAAGTGTTGTCATTTTCCAGGTAATTGTGAAAACAAGAACAGAATATCAGCCCGACCAGAAGAACAAAGGAAAACTCAGAGTGCCCAAAATTGCTGAATTCACAGTCAGTTTCACTGATGGTGTAACAGAAAGGCTAAAGGTAAGAAATGGATATTTTGGTACCTTACTATTCAAGTGCCATTCATTTTAGAATAACTGAATCAAAGCGACAGTAAAGACATAACATGTTTAACTCTCCAGCCGTCACTAGGGTCAAAGAGAGGTTATCTGCAGGAGTATAAAGCTTTCTCTTTTCAGGCAGACATGAAAATACTCCCATAATTAGATCTCCGTTAGAAAATGTTGTTTTCTCCTAAGAAAAATTGTGATCACTTTTTCCTGCCCAAACTGAAAGTAAAATAGGTTTGGATATATATATCTGTTTCCTTCAAATGATTTGTGTTGATTAAAATTAGTAAAAATTGATTGAAACGTTTAGTCTTAAAATCAAAAAAACACAACTTTTGGACCGTAACCAACCACATCTTTTAATATTTAAAATGTTTTACTACTACACATTTTTATTATTATGCTTGGAAAGTCATTTTAAAATAGGTAAAAGATATGAGAGATACATGTGAGCATAACCTATACTGCAGTAGTTTTAGCTGAGAGCAAGTAGAATTTTTTGAGGAGAAATATTTCCTTTGAATTTTTTCAAAAAAGTTATACTCAAGCATAGGAAGAAACTCATGAATTATTGAACGTACCCAGTGTCTGTCTACTGCAATGAATTAGAATGTCTCAGTTCCTCCTGAAATCCGCCTCCAAGCATGTAGCACCTAGTATTTCCTCCTGTTTGTATTGAGGAATTATGATCCTTTTCTTGAGTGATAAAAATGTGAGATCTGATTTCATACTTCTAAAGTCAATGAAAATATCACTGATTTAAATAGTAAGTTTAGACGGAATCAGGAAGGAAGAAGATGCTCTGTCTCTTGAAAAACTAGGACTGGGATTGTAAATTTTTGCAAAAGGGT